GGGCCTTTCCCATCTGTACCGGGTCGGCCCGGGCCGGGTAGCGTAGGTTGTTTACATATCTGGGTGGCCTGGTATTTTTCCGGGCCAACCAAGGCTCATTCTCAGCCCTCTTCTCGAGGGGGTCTGCTTCAGGCCGACCAGGGCCAACTCACCCACTGCCGACAGCAAATTCACACCTTCCATTAGAGCAAGCCTCTGATTGGTGGGTAGAATCAGCCCACATGGGCTTAAGGCAAGGATGTGTGGAATCAACCGGGCCAGGCTGGGGCCGACTGGGGCTACCCGGCCCGGGCCGACCCGGTACAGATGGGAATGGCCCATTACTCTCTCCTAGCTGAAGAAAAAAAAACCACCTTCATCCAGATCCAGGATTTTCCTATCTGATTTCGGCATCTGGGTTTTTCCACATGGAGCGAGCGTCTTGGCAGCTTTAGGTTGAAAATGGGTCTTTCATGTGTTTTTGGCTCAGGAGGTCAACAGAGGAATGAGCTTTCTGCTGATGCCAGCTGTGTGTGATGTGGTTATGGATGACAAAGGCTTTAAAGAGGTGAAACAGAAAACACAAGATGTGTCCGCCTGCCCGGAATAAACAGTTTCTAAAGTACTATTTCTGGTCATGAGGGCTACCACCCAGCAGGGTTCGCCTGGTTTTATTCCGTGGGTGATGAACAGGCTTCTGCAGAACTGGATGACCTACTGATGAGGTGATTCAACTCCTCAATTTGGTGTGCTGGAGCAGGAAAACAACTAACACATGCTGGAAAGAGGCCCTCCAGGTCCAGGATGGGACACCGATGACACAAGGAGAAGCCTGTTTATTTTGGTTTTTAGTAGATTTGTGACATTTGGGGTTGTGACAAGTCTGTCAGTCAGCAGCTAAAGACTTACAGAGGCTCTCCTCGTGGCTGAAACCTTTCCTATTTCCACTCTCACTCATCTTCTTAATAGCTTATTCCTCAGCGGGGTCGCTGGGAGCTGGTGCTTGTCTCCATCAGTCATCATCTTTGTATCGGACTCAGCCATGAATCTGCATTTCAAACTGATGACAGTGGGATGGGTTTATTTAGAGTTGCTGAACATGATGTGCAATTGTTTTTAAACTAGGTGGTTTTCATCAGCCATGACAGGGTACTGCTGCTTCTCACACATCAACAACACTAGAAACCACCATCAGACAGGCAGGCAGGCGAACGGGCCAAAACCCGAGTCCAAAAAGTGATTTATCCAGCCTCAAGTGCATGGAAACAATCCAAACGCTTTCCTTGTTGACAGTAAACTGATGTGTTTGCACACTTTATGTTGTGCAGAGCTTCTTGCTGTTTTTTAATTAGTTGCACATCCTTCTCCTGGCTGCTGAGGGAGAACATGTGTTTGTCTTAAACGTCGCTGATGTGGCTCCTTGAGTATTTAACTCTTACATGGTCCAGCAGGAGAGTAGAGATGTTAGGAATCCTGCAGGAAGCTTGATCAGAGGTGTGATTCAAAACCCAGAAACTTAAAGACTTCTTCCAAAGCTACATGGAAACACGTGAGACACCGAAATACCAACAAGAGCGAAAAGTCTGGACCTAATCCCAAAGAGTTCTGCACAGTTCGCAACACTTCTACGTTTACCAGAGGTGCATTTTAATTTACTGTTCATGTAAACGAAGGAAAGCACCCATGAGTGTCTGTGCTTTCATTTAGAGTACAGAGGTCTTACCTTTTTAGAGTCCTTCCTGAATGTGTGCAAAGGCTGAAAGGCTCTCGGGTCACTTTGCAGATTAACCACACGCTCACATGACTTTTAGCAGACAGCTGAACTTCCTGAGAATTCAGGAAGTCGATCTCGGATGAAGCAGCGTGAGGTTTATTAGTTTATCTCTGTTTATATGTGGTTTTAGACAGGCGCAGCAAAGACAGCAGCTCAACCGACTCATGCTCCAGTCTCATTAAGGTCATTTTTGTGCTTGATAACATCATCTTAAGTCGTTTCATCTCCAAAGGTGAGGAGATCACCTGAGTTTCAGTGAAGTCCATCCAGATGAGGTGAAACCATCACTGCTCAGACATCTAGACAAATGTTAGAGCTGAAGCCCTGGCTCATCTGTATTCTGATGCGTTCAGAAAGGATTAAACTGGAGTCTGACATGTTTATGTTTATTTACTTGGCAGACACTTTTATCCAAAGCGACGTACAATTATTAACCTGTAGGGCATGTTGTGATCTGTGGGGGGAAACCGGAGTACCCGGAGGAAACCCACGCATGCATGGGGAGAACACGCAGCTCCACGCAGAAAGGCCGCAGCTGAGTTTCTAACCGGCAACCTTATTGCTGCGAGGCAACAGTGCTAACAACTGCACCACCCAAGACATCAGTGTTGAAATTAACAGATTCCGTTTGTCTCCATGTTTTTTATTTTTGGTTTTCTTTAAAGATGACAGAAGCAAAAGTTAATCAGCACAAACCCAAATTTTACTTCTAAGTAAATCAAATTGGACATTTTAAAATGTGATCTCATTCACAGCTAATTCAAAAGTGTTAATTTTCTGGTGTTGGTACAATTTAACACCAAGAATAGTTAATTTAACACTAAAACATGTTATATAATCGATATGTAACACTGACATGAGCAGTGGCGTGTCCAGATCTTTTAAAATGGGGTGGCCCAGGTGAGGCACAACTTTGTGCATGGGTGGCACCAATGGTTATGCTATTTTTGTTTTACCTCCAAGCCTTTTTTGGACAATGAAAAGCCTATTTAAAGGTAAATTAGTGTGGTGTCGCCTGGGGTGGCCAATCAGATTCCAAGGGTGGCATGTGCTACCCCAGGTCACTCCCTGGACACGCCCCTGGACATGAGAGTTAAAACCCAGTGTTAAAAAAGGAGTGTTTCCTGATCAACTCTGTAGGTGTTATTTTGGAGAGAATAACTCCTGAAAATCTAACTCTGAACTCCCACAGCAGCTGTAACACGTTAATTTGTAGACTCCACCCTTTTATTCTAAAAGTTGGACTGGTAGCGACCGATTGGCTGCAGAGAGTTGCAGGAGCTGCAGTGGGTGAGGTGCATTGTGGGTTGTCATGTTTTTAGTTAGTTCTATTTTGGGGTGTTTATGCATGTTTATTTTGGGGAGTTGTGTTGTTCTTAGTTAGTACTTTGTTCACTGTTGCAAATGTGGTTTTACTTGTTATGTCGTGTTTGTACCGTAAGCGAGGAGTTCGGTCAAAAGAATGGGACCACTGTGTGTTCCTCTATCACAATAAAAATGTGGTGCATAATTCATACTACATCCTCAGGACTCTACTTCTTGTGATCCTCTTCCATTGACTGATTGCAGTCATGAGGTGTACAAGATGAGTTAGCTATTGCTTTTCAGTGTAACTGTTAGCTTCCTAGCATGGCACACTGAAAAGTATAAAAATTCATTAAATCATGGTGGTTATTGGTAATTTGAGTGTAAGCTGACTCTGAAAATTAACACTGGTTGTAGTGTACTAGTGATGGGAATTCTGGCTCTTTTTAGAGAGCCGGTTCTTTTGGCTCAGCTCACCAAAAAGAGCCGGCTCTTTCAGCTCCCAAGTGGTTCCTCAGATTTTCTGTTGCGTAGAGTACATTTATAACCAAAATAATGCTAAACTATATGTAAAATGATTTACTAATGTAAAAAATGCTATATATCAAATATTTATCATTTCTATGGATTTAATAACTGAACATTTTCAGAAATCTCCACTTTCCGACTGCTGGCGCTCATTTTCTCACCGTCTTCGTCGCACTCTCCTCTCTCTCGCTCGCCTTTTTCCTCCTCCTCATTCCCTCTCGTCTCCCTCCACCCGCATGTGCTCTGCTGTGTCTGAGTCTGATCCTCCCTCCTCCCCGCCCCTACTGCTCTGTGTGTGGACAGTCTGGACACGCAGTTACACATGCTGACCAATCGCCTGTGGCTTTCACCAAAGCAAGAGGGGAGGGGGAGGGGAGGGGACGGCTCCCAATGACGAGCCGACACCTGTCGTTCACTTCAAAGAGCCGGCTCTTAGAGCCAGTTCGTTCGCGACCGACACATCACTATAGTGTACACAGCAAATTCAGCATGCTCAAAATGGCTATCAGAGTTGATTCCAACACTTTTAAAATGTCTATGTGAGTCCACCCCAGTAAGTGTTAATTTAACACTTTTTGGAGAGTTGGTTAGTGATGGGATTTATGGCTCCTTCATGGGAGCCGTTCATTAGTCAGTCGTTAAACCTCAAAGAGCCGTTCAAAAGACTGGCTCCTTTGAACAAAAGGAAGCCAAGAGAGGTGGTGGTGGTGGGTGGTGGTGGCGGGTGGGTGGGTGGGGTGGGTGGTGGTGGTGGTGGGTTATTAAGAGCAACGTCTTCCTGCGGTGTCCGTGAGGGCGCACGGGGTTGGTTAGAGTTCCTCCCATAGATATGTATATAAACACGCGTTTATACACATATCTATGGTTCCTCCTAAGTCCGTCACAGCAGTGGGTGGGGTTTGAGCGGGTGTGTTTGACCGACTTCCGGGGAGGTTTGTTAAGATGAACGGCAGGGACTTGGCTCTCATCATTCGCTTTGAAAACCCGTTCAAAAGATTCGATTCGTTCGTGAACGTCACATCACTAGAGTTGGTACTTTAACTCTGATTTAGTGTTAAATATTTAACACCAGTGTTAGTGTTACTATCTTAACACTTACACTGGTGTTAAATATTTAACTCTAGAGGAGTTGGTTTTTAACTCTAAATCAGAGTTAAAGTACCAACTCTCCAAAAAGTGTTAAATGAACACTTACTGGGGTGGACCCATATAGACACTTTAAAAGTGTTGAAATCAACTCTGATAGTTATTTTGAGCATGCTGAATTTGCCTGGCCAAAAAAAAAAAAGGTCAGACACTCTAATGTTTCGTCGTACCACTTTTAGCTTTGATGATGACGCACATCGCTGTGTCATTGTTTGGATAAGCTTCTGCAACGCCACAAGACTTGTTTCCATCCAGTGTTGCATTAATGTTGGTAGAGTCTGACCGCTGCACAAAGCCTTCTCCATCCCATTCCAAAGATTCTCAATGAGGATAAGGTCTGGACTCTCTGGTGGCCAATACATGTGTGAAAATGATGTCTCATGCTCCCTGAACCACTCTGTCTGAGCCCGATGAATCCTGACATTATCATCTTGGAATATGACCGTGCCATCAAGGAAGATGGAATAACCTGGTCATTAAATATCTTCATGTAGTCAGCTGACCTCATTCTTGGAGCACATCCTGCTGCTGAACCTAGACCTGACCACCTGCATCAAGCCCAGATCATAGCACCGCTCCCACAGGCTTGTACAGTAGGCAATAGGCATGATGGGTGCATCACTTCTTCTCTCTTCTTACCCTGATGCTCCATCACTCTGGAACAGGGTCCATCTGGACTCATCAGACCAGTGTTTAATAATGCGTTGGCCAGTTCTTAACCCAGTTTTAGTCGTTTCCGCATCTCCTTAGATGTTTTCTCTGCTTGATGCATGCTGACAATCTGACGCTTCTCAAACAGACCAACATCTTTTCCACGACCACCAGATGTGTCTTTTCACATGGTTGTTTAAGAAATGAGACGCAACTCATTGCACCAGTTGGGGTAAAATAACTTGTGGGCAGCTGAAAGCTAATCGCTCTTGCAGTAATTCTCCAATAGGAGGCTCCTACTTGTTTGCTTAGTTAAATCCAGGTGGAGACTTTTTTTTGTCCAGGCCATGTAACTTAGAATACATGCATAAGACACAACTTGTGTTCTACTGAGGACGGGATAAACTAACTGTAGCGTTATTATGATGTCTAACCAGTCTGTGATGTGGTGGAGGGCTGCATGTGGGGTCGGAGACGGGAAATGAATGTGAAGAAGCAGAGTCAAAATGAGAAGGAGAGAGAGACTGATGTGGAAGTCTCACCGCAGCCCTCACAGCTTAGATGTTTTAATTCTAACGGGGGCTCTTAAACCACCAAACACCACCACACAGAGACCCAATCCTTTCATCTGATTCTATGATTCATCCAAGTTTGTGATGAATCTGAGGAAACTGCATGAATGAAAACTGAGAAGAACCTTAAAGGAGCGAGAATAAGATCAACATCATCTTTATGGCTCAGATGTGGAAGAGACTCGACTCTGGGGAGAGTGGTGCGGTCTGGGAAGCTACGGGTTAATCTAAGACTGGGAGTTAAACCTGTTGCCAATTAGAAGCAGTGAGCGCCACATGTAGACTCCTCTCTGCTGAGGGGGCAAAGGAGGCAGAAACCACGGTTCAAGCTGTGGAGGAAAGCAATGCAGTGACAGGGATGATCTGAGACAGGCTTCACACGCCACGCGTGGCCTCTTTACACTTTTACATCTGAGGACTGCAACATGACGTCTGTTTCTGTGACCTTTTTCCTCTTTGTCATCTCTGCATTCAACTTTGAGAGCAGATCCGAGGTGTGCACGGGGCCGCGCTGCTTCCCTGGCCAGGACTGGAGCAGACTGTGCACTGGAGCGCTCTGCAAGGGGCGCGCGGACGCTCCCACGCAACGAAGGCAGCTGCACCACCAGCACGTGCAGCCCAGGACGGGGCAGAGTAATCCGACTTTACAACATAATGCTCATATGAGCCAACACCAAGCCCAGAGTGCGCCGCTAGCGCCCTACACCATAATCCATCCACAGCACGGAAGCTTTGTGCAACACTCCAGTACTGATGGCGTCAGGAGGACCAACCCAAGGACCATCACAGCAGAGGTTTTTCACCCAGGCTGTGCTGGTGGGAGTTGTCCCACCAAAGTTTCTAATCGCCCCACTAATGACGAGAGGGCCACGCGGGAGTGCAAAGGGACTGGCTGCAAACTATCTTCACGGGACCGCCACAAGCAAAATGTATGCGTCGGAGACGCCTGCAGCACGCATGCAGGAGACGACGCGAGGGCGAGCGCTTCAGATCACGCGACGGACAGAGCTGCACAGTTTTTGGATGAATTCTCTGACTTTGGGTCAGATCGGGGTGCATGGATTCAGCTGGTCTGTGACTTAAAGCCAGGTCAGTGAATCAGAGAAGATGAACCAAACAGCAGCCTTCCTCCTACAGTTTTAGCTTACGTCATTTTATTCCTTTCTGTCATAGGGTCCAACGAGGTTCCCTCAGAGGATGCTCTTGTCCTGCAGCTGCAGCTGTCCAAAAGCCAGGAGAAGCTAGTTGAGGCCCTCAGGGGCCAGCAGAACGAGGTCACTGAGCTGCAGGCCCTCCTCAGTGAGCAACAGAGGGCGCTGGTCAGCCAGCAGAGGGAAATACTGGAGCAACAGAAGAGGATGCATGAGCAGATGGAGCAAGTGAGGATGGAGGAGATGTTAATAGCTTAATAATGATGTTAATAGCCTATTGTTACTGGAATAAAAAAATTAGATAATGATAGACGCCAACCAACTAGATTACATATGCAGCTAGAGGAAGGATCTTACCTTTGCATTAAGAACAAGTTCACAGAGTAAATGTTCTTGAACTTATTTTTGAAATGTAATCGGTCAGTCCGAGTTTAACATTCAGGCTAAACATGAAAACGGTCTTTTACCCCATTTATTTATTTATTTATTTATATATTTATTTATTTATTTATTTATTTATTTCTATATTTATTTATTTATTTATTTATTTATTTATATATTTATTTCCTGATCTTTCAGGAGGCTCAGTCACTTGAGACAAGCGGGTCCTCCATAGAAAGATTCAATGAAAATAAAAGACCAAGATAACATATATAAGGTTTTCCAAGCAAGCATATAATCAGCGGAGCAAGAGCAAAAACACTCACAAAAATAAACAAAGCAAACAAGCAAAATAATTTCATTAGGTAAACAAACAAATGGTGCAACGACACATGTCAAATTAAAGTAACGGGTACTGTACATGAAGTCTGACGAGTTCTGTGACTGTTGTAATGTGACCGGATCATTATTAAAGTGGTTAAATAAGATGGAAAATTAAAGTAGACACATTAAAAAATCAACAGCAGCCAGTGACGTCTCCGTCTACCTTCAGCTGACGGCCCGGACAGACAATCATACAGATGGTGAGATCGAATTGGACAACGCAACACAAAACAACACATGCTGTTATAAATAACAGCAATTGAATGAAGTGAGCAAGCAGTAGAAGTATGATGGATTATATCAGCATAATCTGAGTGGAAGCAACAGCTGAGTAACAATGGGCTTTCTTACACTATAATCAAAGCAACTGATTAAACGATGTAATGTATTTAGGTTAAAGTCGACCTTGCCTGCATAAGCTTTCTGAAGGACGGATCCGGCTCTCACCAAACACCCAAATATTTAATAGAATCAGAAGCTTTCAGCTGTGACAAATCTAAGAAGTGTACATTTAGATCACTGTGCAAGGTGGATTGGTTTCTCTGAAAAAGCATTGAATAGGATTTAGATTTATTTAAAATATATGGCACTTGAATTTTTTATGCTCGTGATTGCCCTCTCAGGCCAGCTGAGTCAGTCCTGTACCGGTGCAATTTACAGGTTTGCCAGCATGACTCTGACAGAGTGACATAATATATTTAGACCAAATCAATTTGTACTGCATCCAGGTTGTGATGGGTGGCCAAATGATAGCAAAGTAAATAGAGCGAAGAAGCCAAATAATGCCAATAAATGAATAAATCACGTTTGGGAGTGGTCCCTTTGATAAAGTGTGCTTATTGAAACTAAAACAATAGAGCAACTTAGTACTCGAGTCGTAATGTGCTCACTGTACAACTGAGAGTCAATAAACACTTGATTTGATTAGCGACACAGCTTTACAAAGTTTAGACTGTTCTACAAGTATAATAAATCAAATCAAGTTTATTTGTATGCACTTTATATGCAACAAAGTTTCCCAAAGTGCTGAACATAAAAATATAAAAACAGCAAAATATAAACAGTCAATTAAATACAGATTACAGTACATTTGAAACGGACGTGGAAGGCAGGACTACCAAGTCAGCCAGGAGTGTTAAAAGCTGTCGAGTAAAAATAAGTGTTCAGTAGTTTTTTAAAAATGGCAACAGATGATGCCTGCCTAATAGAGATTGGCAACATATTCCACAAAGTAGGTGCAGCCACTGAGAAAGACCTAAAGCCTCTTTTCTGTAGCCTTGCCCTAAGTACACTCAATCTAAGCTGTCAGCCAACCTCAATCCACGAGACGGAACATAAGGCACAAGAAGTTTGCATAAGTAGACAGGTGCATGGCCATTTAAAGGGACTTTACAGAGTTTTGAATTTTTATGCTCGCGATTGCCCCCTCAGGCCAAAAGCGTAACGGCAGCTTCAATGGTAGGCTTGTGCACGAGGCGCGCATGCTGTACGTGCACACTCCTTAACAGCTGAGACAGTCCCGTGTGTGTGTGTGTGTGTGTGTGTGTGTGTGTGTGTGTGTGTGTGTGTGTGTGTGTGTGTGTGTGTGTGTGTGTGTGTGTGTGTGTGTGTGTGTGTGTGTGTGTGAGTGTGTGTGTGTGTGTGTGTGTGTGTGTGGCCCGGAGGACAGAGGACAGGAGAACGCGCAGCTAATTCATTAAATAATTTGATTCTGTACCTTTCTCTTCGGCACAGCCGACAAAGGTTTAGGATGGGTCAGTCCGTCAGCTTCACAGAACTTCCCTTCCCTTGCTTGAAAAATTGTTCCAAAATGAAAGTTGAACCCACATCGTTTTTATCTGTGAACTCAATGCCGTTCGGCGAGTCTCAAATAAAAATTTGGGCATCTAACTGTAAGAAAATATACCATTAATGTAAAAAATAAATTCTAAATAAACTATGTTCACATCCAGAATCGAACCCGGATTTTCGGCATGGGAGTCCAACATTATACGAGGTGAGTTACAGTGCCAGTAACGTCTTTTGTGTCTGTAACATTTATATCCTTGATGACAGCTGAAACACCGTTCAAAGAACGGTTCGGAGCGAAAATGGCTATTTTGTTGCTAATTTGCAGGAAATATCTAGAAGGAAGTAGCTAAGTGTCCTCATAAATGAAGCTAGGTTCGTCACTAGGCGTTAGGAACAGCGACAAAGTCGCTGAATTGGCACTACCTCACTCTCTGCTGCTAAAGCTACGGATAGCAAATGCTACGGGCTATGCCTGAGCGTGAACGCGCATGAAGCAGCCTGCTCGACCCGAGCATCTCTCTTTTTCTGTGATTTTACAGAAAAACAGGCAATCACAGTAAAAATGCCAGGGCTCATTCTACAGGACCAGGGCATTGCAGGAGAATGTATGAAGAAGACATTTATTATTTCTATACATGTTTTGGCTGTCAACCTTCCATAATGCCCCTTTAAAGATTTATAGGCCAGAACCAAAATCTTAAATTTCACACGGAACTTCAATGGTATCCAGTGAAGAGAGGCAAGAACTGGAGTGATGTGATCAAATCGACATGTACCAGTCAAAAGACGTGCTGCAGAGTTTCGAACTAGCTGCAACCCAGCAATACATCCATGATTAACGCCCAAGTAAAGACTGTTGCGGTAGTCTAAACGGGATGTCATAAATGCATGTATAAGCTTCTCAAAATCATTCCTAATCAAAACGGACTTCACCTTATGAGGATTCCTTAGGTGACAAAAGCATACTCGAACCACCTTATTGACTTGAACATCAAAATTAAGCTGAAAATCTTTCTCAACACCCAAATTACACACAGCATCCTTTGCACAATATGAAAAGCCACTCATCGAAGACTCAGTGACTACAGGAGCACTACTCGGTGCAAACATGATCAACTCAGTCTTAGAATCATTAATCTGCAGAAAATTACAACAGATCCAATCATTAACCTTACAAAGACGCATTAGAGCTACTTCCTTAGCTTTAGTAGGAGCATAGACCTGACAGTCATCAGCATAGAAATGAAAGTTAAGCTCAAATTTCCTAAAAATGGCCCCAAGTAGGAATAAATATACATTGAAAAGCAGAGGACCAAGTACAGAGCCCTGTGAGACCCCATATTTAGGAGTGGCATCGCTAGAGCTAAAATTTCCAATCCTAACAATCCCATACCTGTCAGACAGGTAGGAACTCATCCAGCAGAGTGCTGAACCACGAAGACCAACACACTTCTCCAGATGATCAAGAAGTATAACATGACCAAGAGTATCAAAGGCTGCTGTCAGATCTAGGAGCAATAAAAAGACTGTGTCACCCGCATCAGTCACCCTAACCCCACTCTCACAAGCACAGTCTCAGTACTATGCTTTGCTCCAAAACCCGATTGAAAAACTTTTCAAATTTGGTTTTGATCTAGATAGTCTGACAATTGCTTAAAGACGGTTTTCTCAAGAACCTTAGAAAGAATAGCAACATAGAAATAGACCGATAATTTGATAAAACAGAAACATCAATACCGAGTTTCTTAAGAAGGGGGTTGATTACAGCTTGTTTCAGACTTCACCAGAATGCAAACTAGAACGCCACAAGATGGTGTAATGTCGAGTGCAGAGCTAGATGGTTTCATGCTTCCAACTATTTCATCCAACACATCTGGGAACACAGACTCAAAAGGATTCAAAGAAGTCAAATCAAAACAGATATCGTCATCAATAAAACAAGATTGCTGGGGAATTGGAGCTCAAATAACTTCGGTTTTGGCTATAAAATATGTCAGAAACCTCTCAGCAGTAGTCAAAGAGGCTTCAAGTCCACCAACACCTGAAGGATTTAAAATCCCATCCACAGTAGAAAGAAGTACTCAGGTTGTGCTCATTAGAGCTAATAATATCAGATAAAAAGGTAGATTTAGCCTTTTTTACAGTCATTTGATAGGAGTGCCATGCAGACCTCATGCCTTCAAATGACGCCTGCGACCTAGATTTCTTCCAGTTCCAAATTAGACAAACAATGTACTCTGATGTAGACACGCTAGACAGGCAGCCTAAAAAATGTTCCTACTATGATTTACGGAAACGCTTGCTTTGAGAGCATCAACAACCCTGTTCCCCCCACATATTTAGTAATAAGTTCTTACCTTTCAAGAAAAAATTATGACAACTGAGAGTCTTTTGTTATCCCAAAAGACTCTCAGCATTTTCCTCTTCTCAAATGTCGGATTGATGCTTATTTTCGTAATTTGCCTTCGAGTTTTTCCCCTTTTGTTGCGCTGGAATACACTCTTGGTTTCCTCTGTCTTGCTTGGGGTCTGGGCTGGAGTTCGCTTGAAGCAGCTCTCTTCTTGTTCTTGGCTGAATCCATGCTACCAAACCACCTCTCGCTCTGCCGCTGAGCTACAGATAGCAAGTGCTATGGGCTGTGCCTGAGCGTGAACACGCATGACATCCTCACGCATTACACTGCCTCTGGAAGACGCTGGAGAAGCGTGCTGATTTGACCCATTGTCACGTTTTGAGGATGTTAGGACCCAAATATGCAGCAACCCAGGATGACACGAGGCAGGAGATGATGAAAAGTAAAATCCTTTATTCTGGAAGGATGAAACAAAATAAACCCAGGCAGCGAGCCTAAAGTCCAAAATTCCAACGCTGGAGAAACAAAGCTCACCAAGAGCACGAGCAAACACTGACAGAATACACATACAATGGACCGACACAAGACAAAGACAAGACAGGGCTTAAATAGACTGGGAGACCAATTAAGGTAACAGGAAGCAGGTGTGTGGAGTGAGGGCTGGAGGGAAGGCAGGTGACAATAATTATCTCAATGGGGAAAACAGAAACAGAGGAGGGCAAATACCTAAATACAAACTAAACAACAATTACCTAAAGACAGAGGGAAGAGCTCACACAAACTAGCTGGAGGAGGACATAGCACATACACCCACACACACATAACCACACACACTGAGCTGGGGACAAAGAGGCTGGAGCTGACCTGGGAGGAAAGATTAGAAAAGGTAACAACATAAGACACTAAACTGAGATGCAGACAAAGGACACATGAGAGTGCTAAAGGGCTACAACATAAGACACATAACAGAGATGCAGACAAAGGACACATGAGGGCGCTAAGAGAACACAAAAGGGAATCCAGAGAGGGATGGAGAAACATTAGGAGACACATAAAGGAGGGGGCAGACGCAGACCATGACACCCATACATACTCTTTTTCTGTTATTTTTACAGGAATACAGAGGCAATCACAGTAACAATGGCAGGGATCATTCTACAGGACCAGGGCATCGCAGGAGAATGGATGAGGAAGACATTTTAAATTTCTATACATTTGATGGTTGTTAAACTTCCACATTCCCTTTAATAGAAACTCATTATGAGCAAAGCAGTGTTGTAAATTGTTAAGGCTTAGCTGAAGACACTCTTGAATTTAAATTAAGCTGAGATTGGAACAATATAAAATTGTGTCATTAGCATATAAATGCATCTAACACGAAGAACAACACACTAGTGGATTGTTAATAAAATAGAAAATAAGAGAGTGCCCAAAGAAGATCCTTGAGGAACACCTTTCACTACTCCCCGTTGTCTAGATTGGGACCTGTTAAAAGCAACAATTTGACAAAGGTTATGAAAAAATAATTAGACCAAAGTATATCAGTTCTAGATAAGCCAAACAAATATAATTGTCTAAGAGTAGGTGATGATCCACCTATTTCCTGCATTAGCCACCAATAGAAGGTCACTGGGCAAATTCTGGCTATCTGGAATTTACACATAAACACGGACTCTAGGAAAGTTACTGTCCTTCTGGACCTTAGTGCTGCCTTTGATACAATTGACGATGATATTCTGTTAGACAGGTTAGAGCACTGGGTTGGTTGCTCCGGTCCAGTTCTTAGATGGTTCCAAACATACCTTAGAGACAGGCAGTCATTTTTATCAGTCAGGGGGTTTAACTGTAAAAAACAGGTGGTTATTTGTGGTGTACCTCAAGGTTCGATCCTTGGTCCACTATTATTTAATCTGTATATGCTTCCTCTTGTGCACATTGTTCAGAGGCACAATGTTAATTATCATAATCATGATGATGACTTACAATTATATATTTCATTGCCTTCTAATAATACAGCTCCCCTTTACTCTCTTACACAATGTATTAAGGATATGGATGCCTGGATGTCTGAACATTTCTTACAATGAAATCAAGATAAGACAGAAATTCTGGTATTTGGTCCAGACGCACAGACAGACAGTTGTAGATCTTCTCGCCTCGCTGTCTTCTCAATGTAAAAATGAAGCACGTAACTTGGGTGTATTTTTAGATAGTGACCTGAATTTTAAAAAACACATTCATCTTACAATAGCTTTTTTCATTTACATAACATTTCTAAAATTAAACATTTTGTATCAAAAACTGACCTTGAAAAGGTAATCCATGCATTCATAACTAATGGTCTCTTAACTGGCCTCCCTCAGCATGCTACTTAGAGATTGCAGCTGATTCAGAATGCTGCTCGTGTTCTGACTGGAACAAAGAAATCAGAACACATTGCTCCTGTTTTAAGATCTCTGCACTGGTTACCAGTTGAAAAAATAATTGATTTTAAAATCCTACAGCTTGTATATAAAGCTCTCAATGGCCTTGCACCATAATATATTGCAGACATGCTAGTACCTTATATACCAGTCAGACCACTCCGGTCTGCAGAACACAGCAAGCTTGTTATACCACGTACACATTCTAAGTCAGAGGAGGCTGCTGTTAGTGTAAATGCACCTAAGATCTGGAATATTTTGCCTTTGGAGAAGAGGGAACCAGCTACACCAAATATTTTTAAGATAAATTTAAAAACTTTTTAATTTGAACAAACATATGGTTAGGCTGTATATGTCTAATTTATATCCTCCTTTTATAGATATAGTTTTATTCATAGATAAGTGCTTACAATTATGTTTCACTGTTATCTTAGCTTAATTTTCTGGCCGTGTCTGGATGTGTGTACAAATGCGTGTGTAAATGTTTGTGTGTGTGTGTGTGTGTGTGTGTGTGTAGGTTTTACTTTTATGTGTATATTTTATGTATGTATGTATACACCATTTGCTGTTAAAGTGTGTACATATTTTATAATTGATTGTTTTATTTAGTCTCTTTTACTGTTAAGCACATTGAGTTGTTACCATGCAGGAAATGTGCTCTAAAATAAATAAATTAATTAATTAATTCATTCATTCATTCGTTCATTTGTTCATTCGTTCATTCATTCATTCATTCGTTCGTTCGTTCGTTCATTCGTTCGTTCGTTCATTCATTCATTCATTCATTCATTCAAGTTACTTGGACTCACCGATCTTGGCTTGTGACGGCGAAGGCTGTTGTTGATTTAAAGTCCAGGACACAGCACTTATTATCAAAGTTATTCTTTTTCTCTCACAGGTAAAAATCCAGTACAACAGTTTGATGGAGAGCATCAAACAGACATCGTTCCATAACCTTCAGGGGGAGTTAGACAGTCACATGGAGACCCTGAGTGGACAGATAAGAGCTCACCAAACACAACAGGCCCTTGCTTTGCACAAGGTGGACATGGAGGCCACTCTAATGGAGGTGAGCCATCAGACATCTGAGTAAAACCACCCAAATGTTTGAGCATTATGGAAAGCTGGATGTTTGGCGTCCTCAGGTGGAACGGCCCCAGATGTCCTGTGGACGCTGTGAACCCGAGGAGTACTGCAGCTACAGCAGTGGCCATCCTCACTGTGAAAAGTGCACAATCTGTCCTCCTGGTTTCTTTTTGGTGGCCCAGTGCTCGGTCCATACAGACAGGATCTGTCAGGTTGGACTGCCTCTTTTAAGTTGCGTGAGTTCTCCTCTGCTCCTCAGATTAGCTCTAAATGCTCCGTTTGTGATTTCAGGACAGAGACGAATGTCTGGAAATATCTAACTTGTGTGGCGATCAGCAGAAGTGTCTCAACACTCCAGGTACTATAGAGCATAGTTATAAACAATGATATGTTATTTATAGGGATGGGTACCTTTGACATTTGAATCGATCCGGTACTAATTCCCGGTACCTACGAATCGATACCGGTACTTAACGGTACAAATTTTCGATACTTTTGAGTGTTTATTATTTTAATTCTCTTTTTATAATTAAATATATATTTTTCTCAATATATAACCATATTTGATAAATATCACGATAAATAACATTCAACTGTTTGTATTTTAACATCGTCCTTGTAGTTTTATAAGCTGATAATTAAACTGAAGCAAACATCTTTACTGTGAACTAAATTTACTGTGTATCTTCATTCCTTTTGCCGTCCTTTTTCATTTGATTTTTCCTACTGGGAAGTTAGAATTTCCGAGGAGAAAGCGAACGCACCATTAGATGATAACAATGGTAGCAATGGAAGCTAACATACCAAGCTAACGTTATCTTAAACAGTTTATTTAGCTGCTGGAGCAGATTAAAACGATGATGCCTCACACTTAGATCGTTGTCACTGGTTTCGTCTTCACCCGTCACATTTAGTAAAGTGAAGCCAAACTTTAGAGCGTGTTCATGTTCTTCTAGTTGGGAATTCGGAGTTCCGAGGAGAAAGCGAACGCACCATTAGTGAAACGGAAGCTAACATATCAAGCTAATTATATTTACCTACCGGAGCAGATTAAGATGAGGATGTCTCACTTAGATCGTTGTCGCTGGTTTCATCATCACCCAGTTACCCATCACATTTAGTGAAGTGGACCCAAGCTTTAGCGTGCGTTCTTTCAACCATGCTGCTCTGTTTACAACTGGCTCGCAGCGAGCGACGACATAACACTCTTGCGCATGCGCAGCTGTCTTGGCAAGTTCTCGTTATGAAGGACGGGTACCCAAACGAGGCACCGTTTGAAATGACGTGAATTGGTACTCGGTCGGTATTATGGAATTCGGTCGGTACCTTAAAAAGTACTGAATTCGGTACCCATCCCTAGAAAAGTGTTGCAGATATTTTATTTGCTTTATCCTTGTGGTGACATCACAGGTGGCTTCAGGTGCAGAGGCATGACCAAACAAGATGCTCACTCTGGAATGTGCGGCCATGGCTACTTCTACAACCCAGACATGGAGGAATGTCAGGCTTGTAACGAGTGTGAAGGAGAACCGGTGGTTTCTCCTTGTACCTTTGTCACAGACACCATTTGCCCTGGTCCTTCTGCTGCGGACAGCACATTGTCTCTGTCTTGGGCTGGAGACGTGAGCCTGCAAAGCTCAAAAGGCCACATCCTGGTTCACACTTTCTCCAGTGTGCCGGTTCTCATCGAAGGAAGAGGAGATGCAGGTTTGGTTTCTGCTGAGAACGGGAAGCTGGTGCTGAGGCAGCATGGTCTTGTCTGGCTAGATGGGAGTGTGGCTCTTAGCCACGGCTGTCGCAGCTTCATCCAGGTGTGTCTGCGTGTAAACAACACAGACGGCTCTGAGGGTCGCGACCTGAGTGGTGTGCGAGTGGAGCAGCAGGATCGGAGATCGCTCCAGAGTGTCAGCATCAGTGGGGTAGCAGAAGTTGCCCCGGGCTACGTCATGTCCCTTTTCCTCCAGAGCCCTACGCACCAGTGCAATCAAAGCAGCGAAGGTCTGCAGCTGCACAAAGCTTCAGCAGCTCAGTTCAGCCTCATTTGGCTCTCTCATGACACAGGAGCTGTTGCTATGACAGCAAAGGCTGTGATTTCAGCACACTACCACACAAACTACCGCCCAGCCTTCCACACCACCTCCACCTCTGACCCGTACATAGTTGGACTGACTCACGACGGCAGGGGGATCCGTTTTGCAGAGAGTGGATCGGTGCGTTTTGTGTTCCAGCAGGCGCTGTATTCCATGGGCCAGGCGTGCATAAGTGAAGGATTCCAGCCTGTGGCTTATCTCAACAAGAATGGAACCTCATCTGAGTTGCTGCGTGTCTTCAGACCAGGTGTCCACTACAGGGACACGTCCATTTCTCTGTCTGGAGCCACTAAGGTCAGCCCTGGAGACACCATTGGCTTTGAGATCCTCTCTCCTACACAGTGTAATGTACGCTTCTTTGGTGATGACACTGGCATCAGCATTCTTAGCCTGTTCTGGGTCCCTGCAGCTGTTTCTTCTGTTATGACGGCGTCTGTGGCTAACACCGGCCTCCCATCAGGAGCAATACGAAACAAGCCCTTGTTCTTCCATCAGACCAGCCCCCCGGTGCCCCAGATGGGAATGCAGCGGAAGGGATCTGTTAGTCCAAGAAGAGACTTTGTCTTCAGGGAGAGTGGAACGGTGAGCGTATCTCTGGACCTCAAACTCATTCACTCCTGCAGCTTGGTGAAGGTGACTCTGCAGCAGCAAAGTGATTCTGACGGGTCGCAGCCTGTCCCTCTAGCCCAGCAGGTAGCTGGCCAGATGATGGAGGGCAGCCAGTGGGCCAGCGTGAGCCTTCGCACATCGTTTCAGGTTCGTAATGGCACGGTCGTGTTTTTGGTCCTGGACTGCGTACGTGGACGGGTCAATCAGATCGGCCACCAAACAGGAAGTGGGATGTCTTTCGTCTGGGTGGCAGCGTGATGAAACTGAAACACAACGTTGTAATGTTTTGTGTTTTTAATCAGCCATAAAACAAAAACAGTAATGTTGGGTTTCTCATTCCAATCGTGGGAAGCAGAGTGTGAAGCCACCTAACTAAATGTTACACCAACACTCAAACCTCTCTCCAAAGAACAGTGTGCATCATCCCACTGACATCAGCCATCCTGCATCTGTTTTATCTCTGTTTTTTTTACGTTTTTGCCTGAAATTATGGGAGATTCATACCATGTCCAAAGATGCTATGGAGTTGGAACATGTCTGAGATTTCATTTACATGATCTGCCACGTTGGATTTTGAGAACAAACCCAGTGTTGTGTAGGCGTCATGACTTATTACAAAGTGTATGTGGACATGTAGCAGGTACATATGATCTGCCTGAATCAACAGAGATGAGATGTCATTTCTTAACAAGGACAGGGCGGGGGTGAACTGGTGACTTTTACTGGAAACCAGTATGCCTTTCTGTTTTTACAACTTTTAGGTGGATGTCAAGTTTCTGTTTAAATTGGTGGCTTGACCTAGATAAACCAGCTCTCACTATGAGTAGAAAATTCACCTACCGTCACATTTTACTTCCTTGTCGGTGTCAACTCTGCTTTAGTTTTTGACAACTGAACATGCAAAGCAAAAACGCACGCTCTGGATTTTCCATTATTATGTTTCATGAAGGCTTTTAAACCCGTTTCTCAGTCCTGGTGTGGAGCAAATTATCCAGACTAAAGCTCTGCACTTAATTATGGGATGCATCACATGGTGCTGTCTCCTGTAAGAGGCCACGCACCAAATATCACCATAAGATCTCAGGCACACCCAAAACCAGCGATCGTCTCCAGTTCTGTTCCTTTTTCCTGTTCACTGATTTGTGTGTGTATGTGTGTGTGTGTGTGTGTGTGTGTGTGTGTGTGTGTGTGTGTGTGTGTGTGTGTGTGTGTGTGTGTGTGTGTGTGTGTGACAGATTTATAGTTAATTCAAGTTAATTAGTTAATTAAATTTGCGATTTTCTTTCCTGAAAGGAGCAACAAAAATAAACTTATTTTTTCATCTTTTTAAGTGAGCCAGTGGAATATTTAATAAATCACTATGCTTCAGTTATATTTATGTAATGCAAAATTAGTACTTTCATTATTTCCACATGAGTCTAATCTATGTTTAACTGTGTCATACGAAAATAAAGATTCCTCGTACTTGACCATGTGATCTGACTTTCCTTGTTTTTCATTAGTCTTTTATTTTTGTTATTTAATTAGACTCCTGACGCCAGAGGACTTTCACATTATCTCAGTTATGGCTACACTTTGTTACAGCTGGAGAGAGAGAGAGAGAGAGAGAGAGAGAGAGAGAGAGAGAGAGAGAGAGAGAGAGAGAGAGAGAGAGGGAGAGGGGGAGAGAGAGAGAGAGAGAGAGAGAGAGAGAGGGAGAGGGGAGAGAGAGAGAGAGAGAGAGAGAGAGAGAGAGAGAGAGAGAGAATTTGAGTTTAAGTGTGTGTGTGTTTCAAGAGCGTCTGTTTCGAGTTAGCGCTCTTCTTTTTTGATAATATTGTGCATGCCTTGTTTCACGGCCCTTTGCTTATACGGACTTAACAAAAACGACAAAGGCTTGTCTGTACAAACTAAACAACTTATTTAAATAATTAAACTTTATAATATAACCAAACTGCAATAACTTGTATATTGGATGTTTCACTGTAAACTTTAATAAAAAATGTTTTGCCAGAATTCCTGCTGTGTTTTAGTCTTAACTGCTGTGCAAGTGCAAATAACATCTCAGCCTTTTTTTTGACCAGAGAAGAAGGTCATTTGTTAAACAATACATTATTTCATTCATTCAGAATGGCCGGCGTGTTCCCCCCACCCCCACCCAAGCCTGGCCTGCCAGACTCCTCCTCTGTTTAATTCTGCACAGAGAAAGGGTCTGGGAGCTTTCCTATTCAAATAACCCCACCCCCTGAGAATTCTAACTGAGCCAATCAGCACTGAGTAGAGTACGTCACACACCATAGCCCCGAGTTTGTCATAAACATGGCGACTGAAGCAGAGTTCGCTGCGGCTCTTTCCTCTGTTCTGAATGACTTGAACATCTTTAAAACAACAAGTAGAAGTGCTAAAAGTCTTTCTTCTAAAGAAAGATGTCTGCGCTTTCGCCAGACACTATTTTTGACTACAGCTAAAAAACTACAGCGTCGCGAGGTACAGTCGGCATTTCCGTCTTTTTTCTGATTGGTTATTTTTGAGCTGGCTAGTCCCGCCCCTCATGTGCCTCTCTGCCCGTGAGTTACCAGACTCTTTCTCTGTGCAGAATTAAACAGAGGACGAGTCTGGCAGGCCAGGCTACCCCCACCCCGCCTGTCGGAGATCCTGTACGCTGGACTTGCGCTCCATGAGAGGCCTCATTTTGTGCATCACTGTGCATGCAGCACCTTCAGCCCTAGCAGAGGAGAAAAAGAGACACTGTGCCCGTCCCGCAGTGATTAACAGTAGCAGCGCACGGCCAACCAGTGGTTAAATGCACCGACAGGCAGGTGGATCCATGGAGCTGGAGAGATGGCATCCAAACAGAAATATAGTGAGCAAGCACAAGAAAGAAAATGTCAAAACACAAGAAGCGTGTTGCATTTGAAAGTGTGACAAATATATATATATATATATATATATATGTTTTGTGACCATCAACATCCCTGTTTGTGGTGAGCTGACTGCTTGTTTTCCTCTGAGTCTTGTTTTCAGGTGGGCGTGTCTGAGAGCGACCCAGCAGCAGCTGATCCTGTCACCAAGGCCCAGGGGATTTAAAGAGCAGTGTGACTCAATGCCATGCCAGCCTTGGTGAGGGTTTATCGGGGTCTGATCAGGTCGGCCTTAGACTATGGTAGTGTTTTTTATAGCTCGGCCGCTCCAACTACCTTGAAGAGGCTGGATGTGGTGCAGGCTGCGGCATTGAGGGTATGTTGTGGAGCTGTTAGGACCACGCCGGTGTCAGCCCTTCTTGTGGAGATGGGTGAGATGCCACTGGGGCTCCAGAGGTTCGAGTTGGGCTGGCGATATCTGCTGAGGGTTAAAAGTATGGGTTCCGCGACCCCTGCGTTGGCTCTGTTGGATGCTCATTGGGTGTTTGGTGGTGGGGGGCGGCTGGGGTAGGGGTGGTTTTCCTGATGTTTTGCGGGAAAAGGCATCTGAGTTGGGCTTCCTTGGTTGGCCATTGTGTTCTTCTTTGGTGTGGCCTGTAGTGCCGCCCTGGCTGTTGCCAGATCCTGATGTTGACCTTTCCCTTTTGGTCAGGGGTAGGGTGGTGTTCAGGCTGGGGGTTTGGAGGATTTTATGGAGTGGGTTTGGAAGGCGCCTTCACAACTTTTTACCAATGGGTCCAGAGATCCGAGTAGCGGTAGGGCAGCGGTGGGGGTGGCAGGGCCTAGCAAGGGGTTTGGTGTTGGGTACAGTATTCCGGATTAGCTCTCGGTGTTTGCGGCTGAGATGGTGTCGATCCTATGTGCCCTGTGGTGGATACGTGACGATGTTCCTTCCCGCTTGGTCAGATTTTTCACTTCAGGCACTCGAGGAGTGCAGACGCTTCCCTCTTTCGCTCCCTTATCTTTTTTTCCCAAGGCTCTTTGTCCTGTCTGCTTCTCTGCAAAACTGTTTTTTTTACTAACCATGGATTTGATAAACTGGTCATTCAATGCGATCGATAATATTTTTTCAACAATGAGAACGGAGCAGGGGGCTCCCACATGTCCACAAGGGACACACCCGGTGGGATATATTTTGGATTCCTGGGAGGAGTGGAAGATCATGTGCCTCTCTCAGCTGTCCATTGAGGACATCGAAGACGTGTGGATATTTGGTCTGATGATCACTGGATTTCTCCTGATTGGAGTGGGAGGATATCTGGTTTTCTGGAAATTTGGGAAGACGGGAGCATTGGAGGGCGACCCACACCCACGGAAAGCATCGTCCGTGTGGAGACTTCTCAGACTGGGACGTTACTCGAGGTGAATCGTAAGCTGGACAATGTTCTAGCTGTGATACCGGTATTAGTGCGCAAAATGGATGTCATCTCGAAGAGAGTCACCGGACGGTATGGACAGGTTTAAAAACCCAAAATTGGCTTCACTGGAGGACTGGAAATGATCAGTTTAAAGACTGAAGGCAGAGAGGAAAATTATCTCAGCCTGACCCAAACAAAGTCTTGTTATCCATGTCTGACTCCCTGGTAGCCTTGAGCTGCAAGCAAAGAAACCCCCCACAAAGGAATGCAGACAGATGCTGTGAAAACCCGACCTACCCCCCCCCCCCCCCCAACCCCCCCCCCCCCCCCACCCAGCTTTCATATTTGGTGAACTTCAGCCTGGCGAGGTCATCAGCTGGAGGAGTCAATGTGCTCTTTTCTTCTCCCAAGATCTCCCTCCCACCTGTGACTGTACAGTAGATGAGCGCCGTAGATGGCTGCTCTCGCTGGGGGAAACAGGACCCCAGCCCCCCCTGCTTTCCTATTGGAGTCTCATGTTATGTTGTGATGTCTGAAGTCTGTTGCATATCTGCTTGAGGTGTCTTTTTGCAGAGCAAAGCTGCCCTCCTAGTGGGAGGGTAGCTCTGAAGTGCCTTTTTTCCCTCCACCTGAACCAACTCTCACGTAACCCTCTTATCTCTATTAAGGTAGCGCGACTCGGGTTGCGAATGACCATAGTCACCAATTCTTGTCATGTGTCTTGCCCATGTATGTCTGATCTCTGAATTGTGTGTACTGAAACTCTAATTTCCCTCTGGGATTAATAAAGTATTGGTTGATTGATTGATGTTTTAGGACTCTGCGGCGGCGCTGCAAGTGCTGTCTGGTGGGCATTCTAAATCCCGGCCAGACCTCCTGATGGCGGCTGCTCCATGAGTTGCGTTTACTGAGTTGTGAAGTCAGCTTTGTTTGGGTTCCGGCACATGTGGGGGTGGAGGGTAATGAGCAGGTGGATTCTGAGGCCAAGGATGCATTGGGCAGAGTTGAGGTGGACCTGGAGGTGGAGGCTGGGTTATCGCGCATTTACTCCGTGTTTGGTTGAGTCTCCTTGGGGATGTGGCAGGCCTCCCGGGGCACTGAGTGCATGGGGTGCTCTTATTATAGGCTGCAGAGTCGGGTGGGGGTTGGTAGGTTGACTAATGAGTGTAGACGGAGGGACTTGGTGGTTTAAACTAGGTTGAGGCTGGGCCATAGTTGCCTGAAGGCAAGTTTTGTGGGGAGGCATCCTAACGGCTGCTGTGCATGTGGGCAACTGGACACCATGGATCATGTCCTGTAGCGGTGCCGGTTGTTTGCTGAGGAGAGGAGGTCCATATTCAGCTGTCTAGGGGCTGCGGGGGCGGCCGTGTTCAGCTTGCGGACCCTGTTGGCGGTGCCTGACCGGGCCATGATTGGGGCACTGCTACATTTTCTTTGAGCTGTAGGGGTGTTCGAGAGGCTGTGAAGGGAGTAGCTGTCGAGAAAAGGTTGCTGTGGAAGCAATGTGCCTTTTGGGCATCCAGCCTGTCGTCTTCAGTGAAGAATAAGAAGAAGAACACCATGTCGGACTATTATTCTGTTTGGGTAGCTCTAGCCACTTGATCTGTCTCTAGTTGTGAATCTTGACAATCCTGTCTCCTCATGAAACCTCCGTCTAATCTGCTTGTTCTCGTTCCAGGTTCTCCGCACCATCTCCTCTCTACTGCATAACCAACCGGATTCCTGTTCTACAACGTCACACTGCTGTTGCCCTGGCCGCTCGCTCTCAGCCGCTCACCCTGACCTCGCCTTCATCCTCAGCAACATTTCCCCTGGACAGTCTGTGCTCCCCTCCCGACTCCCTCCAGCTCGCCCGAACCTGACCTGCCCTCTCCTCGTTTACAGGATGCTGTGTCATTTAGAGATTACGCATGGAGGTTCAGTTAGTTACTATTTAAATATTATGAAGGGCATTTTTTTATTGAGAGGGAAAATCCTTGTGACAAAAAGAAACCCTGATAACACGGTTTCAACTCTACATTACAGCTGCAACAGTGTCCAAATCGGCTGCAGTTCATGATCAACAGTTAAAAAAAATTATTTAATAAGGTGGTTTTATGTGTAAATAAAATTAATAACACTCACCAAGTTTCTGATTTATAGATGAAAACCATGCCCTCTATGCAGGAAGACTTCAATAACTTTCTCTGAGAGAGAGAGAAAGATTAGGAC